TTGAAGAAGATACCTAATTGAGCCATAAGTATAAATCCTCTTATCTTTCAAGTGATTGGAAGAAATAAGGTATCTACAAGATAAAGGGTATACTTTTTTTTTCCTCGTAGCTTTCCTAATTACTTATTTAAAAAAATTTGTTTTGTGTCTGCACTTCCATCACCCACCCCCATTGCTTGTTGGGTTTGGTAATTCCACTTGAGGCGGCTCCACCAACAACACCTTCACCATTCAGGGCCCCTTCATGACACATTGTAACCCTTGTGTAGGTTATTCTGCCTTGTATTACATTTTTTACTTTCTAGTATGTGGAGTTTTTTTCTGGTGTTCTATTTTTATGTAAATATGCTGGAAATCCAAATAAAGAAATGTCATTTGAAACTGTGTAAATTTTTCCTAAATATGTTAAGGGATTTGTAAAGAGTTGTTTGATGGTTCATGATAATTATTTATGAAATAAATAATTAAATCTTAAGATAATTCATTTAAATAATTTTCAACTACCTGATATTTCAAACGAGTGAAAAAGTACAGAAAACAGTATAGCAGATACCCATTTATCCTTCACTCAGATATCATAGAGAATGACCTTCTGTGATAGAAACATTAGATATATTTAAAGTAAATAAAGTGTTACAGACCTCCCCCTTCACTTCCTTATCTCACTGGTAACCATTATCCTCATGTTACTTGTTATCCTTATGCATATTTTTATTCTTTTATTTATTTATATTTTAACAATATATAATTTTGTGTATTTTTAAAGTGTACACAAATATGGCACACTGAACCTGTCCTATGCTATTTTGTAAATTATTGTTTTCATAATTGTACAAAGTACATCTTTTCATTTTCCTAATGATAGACAGTTAGATTGCCTTTTTTTTCCTATTATGAATACAAACAGTACTAGAATGAAAATAAATATCTTTCTGAGTACTTGTTTATTTTTCTAGGGTAGACTCCTAGAAGAGGAATTGCTGTCATGTAGTCCAGTAATACAGAATCTTTAACTTTACTAGGCCTTTCCAAATTGCTCTCCATATACTTCCAACATGCCGCAAAAGTAGACTCTTAAGCCTTTTGATGATATGATGAATTTTCTGAAAGTGTCTTTTAAAAATTATTCCTTCAAAAATGTTCAGTTTTCTTCGTTTGAATGTTAGAGATAGCTTAAGGTCCCTTGAACAATCCTGCAATTTCCTTTTCCTTTTCCTGATTAAGAATATGTTTTTGGCCTTGAGTGTTTCTTTTTCTATAAATACCCTGTTCATGTCCTTTGCCCATTTTTCCATTGTTTTGGTGTTTTTACTACCTATGAGTACTACTTCTTTATTTTAGGCCTTTTCATTTTGTGTTTAATCAAATGGGAGCACCTGGGTGCTCAGTTGGTTAAGCAACTGCCTTTGGCTCAAGTCATGATCCTGGAGTTCCGGGATGGAGTCCCACAATGGGCTCCCTGCTTGGCGGGAACCCTGCTTCTCCCTCTCTCTCTGCCTGTTGCTCTCCCTGGTTGTGCTCTCTATCAAATAAATAAATAAATAAAATCCCAATGTACTTCCATTTTTAAATCTTCCTTTATAGCTAATTAGGATTTGTGATCTCTTAAAGAATCTTTCTCTACCCCAAAATCATATATTATTGTCTAATAATCTTGTTTGTTTGTTTGTTTGTTTTTTGTCTGTCGAAGCTATAATGTGCCTGAAACTGATTTTTGTTTATGATGTAAGTTAGGGGTCAGGATTTCTTATTTTTCTTTATGGACTTCCTTTTGACCAAACACCATTACCAAAAGATCATCCTTTGTGTACTGTACTGCAATGTCTCCTTTGTCATAAATCAAGTAAGTATATACACATCGATCTGTTTCTGTGTTTTTTTTTTTCTTAAAAATTTTATTTATTGAGAGAGAGAGAGTGCGAGCAGGGAGAGGAGTAGAGGGAGAGGGACAAGCAGACTCCCTGCTGAGTGCGGAGCCCTGTGCACAGGGCTCGATCTCACAACCCTGAGATCATGACCTGAGCTGAAGTCAAAAGTCAGATGCTCAACTGACTGAGCTGCCCAGGTGCCCCAGTCTGTTTCTACTTTATTCCACTGTGGGTCTTTATGCCAGAACCATAGGAATTTATTTATTGCCACATTATAGTATTGAGCTTTTCAGTTCATGAACATAGTATATTCTTTCATTTAATTAGGTGTTCTTTCATTTCTTTCAGAGATATTTTGTAGTTTGCTGTGTCTTTTGTGTTTCCCTATCTTGCTTATTTCGTTAGATTTATTCCTAGGTATTTGAATTCTTTTGATATTGTGGTCAATTTTATCAGTAAATTTTCTGTTTTTAACTATTTATTGCTAAAGTCTAGAAATAAAGTTGACTTTTGAATACTGACCTTATATCCAAAGATCTTGCTTAATTCATTTATTGATTATAATAATTTTTATAGGTTTCTTTAAATTTTCTGGAAACATAATCATGATCTGTAGGATTAATGACAGATGTATTATTTTCTTTCCAAAGAGTGTACCTTTTATTTCCTTTTTATGCCTTTTTTTTTTTTTTAATGAGTAGATACTGAATTTTATCAAATGCTTTCTCTGTGTCCTTGGAGATCATCATCTGATTTGTCTTCTTTGTTCTTTTAATGTGGTAAATTACATTGATTGGTCTTTGAATATTAAATCAACCCTATACTCCTCAAAAACTCTAAATATTTATATAGCTTTGGATTTGCTTATTAATAACCTAAGGAGTTTTACATACATTTTTGTGGTTGAAATTGGCCTGTAATTTTTCTTTTTTGTAATGTTCTTGTCGGGTTTTTGCTATCAAGATTCTGTTGGAGTTTTGAAGTGTTTTGGTAAGAGTTGCCCTTGTTCTATTCTGTAGAAGAGTTTTTGTAAGATAAGTGCTATTTCTTATATGTTTGCAAGAATCAGTGGAGAAATTATCTGGGTTTGGAGTTTTTCTTGTGGAAGGGCTTTTAATTACAGATGAGTTTCTTTAATAGACATAGGATTATTCAGATTAGCTATTTCTTGTGTCATTTTTGCCAATTTTAAAAAAGCTGTTCATTTTATTTAAATTTTTGAAATATTTGGGTAGGTCCCAAGTTTGACTATTTATAATAGGTTTATTATTTTTAAATCTCTGTAGGAGAATTAATTTTATTTTAATCATTATTTTCATCATTCTACTCATGCAAAGTTTCTTTCTTTGCTTTCAGTGTGCTAAGCTCTTTCCGTTCCAAGAAACATAGATTCATTCAAGTTCCTTCAAGTAATGGAGACATGTGACCCTCATTTTAAAGCTACCTATAACCATAAGAGAAAGGAATCACAGGGAGAACAAGATCTCTAGTACAGCTTGGCTTTAGTGAGTCTGAAAATGTCTGGTTAATTAGGATATAAGACAACTTTAGAGATGGAACTGTTTTTCTTTTTATCCTCTCAATAGTAAGAGTTTATGATATTTTAACTTTGAGACCCTCATTATTGGCATGAAATTTCTCAACTACTCTGGGCTCTCCTCTGCTTTTTTTTTTTTTTTTTAAGATTTTATTTATTTATTTGACAGACAGAGATCACAAGTAGGCAGAGAGAGAGGGAAGCAGGCTCCCCGCCGAGCAGAGAGCCCGACACAGGGCTTGATCCCAGGACCCTGAGATCATGACCCGAGCCAAAGGCAGAGGTGCAACCTACTGAGCCACCCAGGCGCCCCTCTTCTCTGCTTTTTCTTCCTTTTCATTGCTAACTACCCCTTTACTCCCTGCTCTGTGTAATTTTTCTTCATTCCTTTTGTTTCCTCATAACTTCTTACTCATGATCCCCGGTGCTCTGTGGCCTTGTTCTGTCTTCCTCCGGATTGAATCAGTGCGTGGTACTCAGTTTAAACTCCCAAGAGATTATTTGATTAGTTCTAGAAGCCCTTTTATGTGAGGCCACCTCTAGGACTCTTGGTGAGTTACACAGTGGCCGCTCTTGACCAAGCAGGTATTGCCCCGCATGGTGGGTTCACAGAGCATAGCACGTGGATGCCTTGGGCTCACTTGCTGCAGAGGTCTCCCGCTGGACAATTTCCCTTAGGATGAGTCTATATGTGGCAAGTACTGTAATTGGTTAATAGAGGCAAGTTCTAGAAGTTAAATTAGTATAAGTGTTTGAGCTTTTCTGCCACTTTTTCTTTTAGACTTTATTTATTTATTTGACAGAGAGATCACAAGTAGGCAGAGAGGCGGGCAGAGAGAGAGGAGGAAGCAAGCTCCCTGCTGAGCAGAGAGCCCAATGTGGGGCTCGATCCCAGGACCCTGAGATCAAGACCTGAGCCGAAGGCAGAGGCTTAACCCATTGAGCCACCCAGGTGCCCCCGCTTTTCTGCCTCCTTTACATGCTCTGGTGAAATGCCAGTGAAAAATGCTGATAAAGCTGATACCTAGAATTTGGTATTATAAACCTCTTCAGTAGTCGTTCATCTAGGACTGAAAAAATTCTTGTGCTACCAACTCAAATTAGGACCTTGAGCAATTAGCTATATAATGTGTGCAGTTTTAGGATGGATAAATGGAAATTGATAGATTTTAAATATAAGCAATATTAAAAGCACACAAAGAGTCAGATTGATGAATGTTTAATGAGAAAGCCGTAGTAGTTACCTCATTTAGGTTGCTTCTGGTTTCCTTTTTCATATGCGGAAACCATCCTGTATATTGCTCAGAATTCTTCTGCAATAGCACGGTTCAGGTTGAAGACAAAAAGGTCCTCTTTCCCTTTGCGATACTTAATCAGTAATGTATTTAAATACCAGAAAGCCATCTTTTGCCCAGTGCATTCTCATTTATGGAATAAATTATAGATATTACACAAAAATAAAGATATTACATTATATAGATATTACATATAAATTATAGATATTACATATTACATAAAATTTACATAAAAGGTAAATTATAGGTATTACATGTACCTTTGGGTATAACAAGTGAAATTTCTTTTTAATTTTCTAGGAGAATTCAGAGAGAGTAATGATAATCACTGGACCAAACATGGGTGGAAAGAGCTCCTACATAAAACAAGTTGCACTGATTACTATCATGGCTCAGATTGGCTCCTACGTTCCTGCAGAGGAAGCAACAATTGGAATCGTGGATGGCATTTTCACGAGGTAAAAACATTAGTTCTATTTGAATATATTTCTGAAAATAAAGCAAGCCCACATTGTCACATGAACTTTCTGCGTACATATTTAGATGAATAGATTTGCTCTGAAAATATTTAAGGCTTTGGAGCTTAAAGAAATCATTTTATCATGAGTATTAATATCAGAAGAGACCAAGGAGAGCATTTTGTCCAGTAATTTCCAAGTTATTTTTAGTACCTGAGTTATTTAACGAAAATTGTATCTTATATAAAAGATGAATATTTAAACGGATAAAAGCAGATCTGCTTTGCCTGAGTCAGAGTGGAAGGCTTGCAGACTTGCCTGGATAGGCTGTGCAGAGAACAGTCTGAGCACCAGTCCCACACTCTCCTTGTTTTATAGGTGGGGGACTGAAAACAGACTGAAAAGGGCAGTGGCCCAAGATAATTTAATTCACATTTTCTCTCTCTCTCTCTTTTTTTTTTTTACTCTAAGAAAATTCTCTCCAGCCAACTGGGTCTTACCCTTTATAAACCTAAATGCATGTCATATTAAGAATATAGGTGAAATATCCTGGTCTTACAAATAGGATAATCATAGTTTAATCTATTTATTCAGATTTATCAGTTCTTTAAGTATTATACTTCTTGCATGTACATTTTTGGGAAAATTAAATATAGGCTATATTGTGTAGTCAAGCTTTGTGTATAAATGTTTGATTTCTTGTCTAGCTGCATATTTATATGATTCTTGACTTTGGAATTACATCAGAATATATCACATGCTGATATTGATGCACCTGAGTAGACATGAAAATACTTTATCTTAGAGCTTGGTTTTTAGTCTGAGTGAGCAAAGCAAGGAGACCTAAATTCTTTTTGATGGCATATCACCAAGCAGATGTTATTTTGATCTCTGTATATTTGCAGATGAACTCAGTATAAGAAATTTAAGGAATCTTTCTTTACTTTTTAAATTGTCATTTTCTATTTTGTAAAAAAAGAAAAGTATGTGTTTGTGTGTATGTAAATATACTTGGTATTTTATTTCAGTTACATTATTAGGGAGAGGGACAGAGAAACTTAACAAAGGAAAGATTTTAGAAGATTGACAAAGAGAAAAGATTAAAAAAGTAAGGTGGTTTGTCTGAAAGAGAATCTTGTTAGTGAGCAGAATGTCAGATGTTTTTAGATACAAGTAATAGAAAAGAAAAGAAGAGTTTACTTTTCTCAAATAACAGGAAGACTTGGGGTGGGCTGCTGCTTCTGCTCCTTCAGTGGTTCTGCAGTTTTGTTGGCCTTTCCCTCATAGTTGCAAGATAGTTGCTGACTCCAGACATCACATCACATGAAGAAAAAGGAAGACAGAATGCCACAGTTCCCCCCCACACATTTTATTTATTTCCAGAAAATCAGTACCTTTTCAGAAGCCTCTTAGAAAACTTCCACTTTTATTTCACTGTCCAGACCTATGTCTCTTGGCCGTAATTGCAAGGGAAACAGAAAGTAAGAATTTGCTTTTGTCCAGCTTTCCTCATGGAGTTAGACAAGTGTTTGGGAATGGATTCAGAGGTAATTAGAAAATAGTTTTTGCCTACAAAAAATGAATTCAGTGATGATAATAATAAAAACAGCTAAACTTTATCATATATATATGTTTTTAAAACTTTTTATCAGTGTATAGGGACTGCCATGTGCCCTTTATATTAAATACTTTATATAAAGTGACATTCAGTGATAGCAAGTATAAGCCTACTGAAAAAGGACAAGCCACACTAATTTCAGGAATTTGGGGGTATTTATTCATTTTCATTTATTCATTCATCCAATACATACTAACTTAGCATCTACTATATGACATATATGACTATATGACATAATGACTATATGATTGGGACTACAATACAACCATGGTTTCTGTTCTAGCATTTACGGGAAGAGGGTGATTTTCTTTTTTCCATAGATCCCGACTTTATTTATATGTAGTAAGTAGACCTATGCAGAGACAGAGCAGTCGTTTAGGCAGTTGCGTATGGAGTCCAGAGGGAGAGATGAATGGTAATGATACAAATTTGCTGTGAGACATTTTTGTATAAGCGATAAATAAAGTCTTAGGTGTGGGTGAGATCATCTTAGTAGAGAGTATATCGGAGAAAATAGTGCCCTAAGGCTGAGCCTTAGGACTGCCAACATGGCATAGATGAGTCAGATGATAAGCTAGGAAAACCGCCAGGAGGACAAAAACCAGGATGTTATGTTGTCAGGAGAAGACTCCTCCAAGGAGAAAGGAAGTGGCCAGCAGCCCAGAGTGGTCAGATGAATCAGATGAAATGAAGCCGGAGAAGTCAACTTTGATCTTGACAAAGTGGTGGTCATTAGCAAGAGCTGTTTTGTTTGTTTAAAAGATTTGTTTATTGTAGAGAGAGAGAGAAGAGCATGAGTGGCAGGGACAGAGGGAGAGAGAATCTCACACAGACTCTGCACTGAGCATGGAGCCCAATGCAGGGCTCAGTCTCATCTCATGACCTTGAGATTATGACATGAGCCAAAACCAGTTGTCAGATGCCCAACCACCTGTGCCACCCAGGTGCCCCAGCAAGAGCTGTTTTGGTGGAGTGGTGGCAGACGGTAAAGGAATGCGCCAGAGGTCAAGAAATAAGACTGTACAGGTGTGGCCAGGCAGCTTGGCTGGGAGGAGGAGGTGAGAGATCCAGTGAGGGACTTGGCTTGTTTTGTTCGTGAATGATAGACTTGAACATGTTTCAGTGGAATATCCAAGGGGATATGTTATATCCATAAATTTATGATTTAAAAAATCCTTCGATTACCTTGGAGGATATTAGATTAAGTTAATGATATTTATAATAACAAAAATCATTAATCACTTTGGAGAATGAAAATTAAAAAATAAAGAGAGAATCAAGACAATTCTGTCTTTCCACACAGGTGACGAGAGGAAGTTTCTCATTATAGAAGCGCCCCAGCTAATAGGCGAAGAAGGAATGATAGAAATTAGAGTGTCATCCTTTTTCTAACCCCCTCCAAGGGTGGAGTTTTTCCAGAGAAGTGAATGAAAAAGTAGAGGGAATATAAGAGTTGTCCAGTGTGGGAGACTGGGTGTCTTTGTCAGTTAAGCTTTTGCCTTGGGCTCAGGTCATGATCCCAGGGTGCTAGGATCGAGTTCCGCTTTGGGCTCCCTTCTTTGTGAAGAGCCTGCTTCTCCCTCTTCCTCTACTGCTCCCCCTGCTTGTGCTTGCTCACAGTCTCTCTCTCTCTCTCTCTCTCTCAGTCAGATAAAGAAATAAAATCTTTAAATCTAAAAAAAAGATTAGGGTTGGCAAGTGCACATTGGGAATAATGGACCATAGCATGTCAACAGAGAAGAGGGCCCAAGGGAAAGCACAGTGGTAGGTGGGCTGGAGTCCTGCGGGGCTGGAAGAGCAGCTGTGGTGGACGTGCTGCATGAGCCAGAATGGGCAGCTTTTGAGGTGAAACAGTTCATATCTCTGCTGAAGTCCAAGATGTGCCCCTGGGGCTGGATGGCTGAGGTAGAGTAGAGGAGGAGAGCGGCTAAGAGGAGATCTAGGCTCGATCTAGGTGGTGTTAGCTAGTTTAGCTTCCAGAAGCGTTGGCAGGTTTCTTGGGGCAGAGGAGAGAATATACACCAAATGTTAACAACTTTGATGGGGGGTGGGGGTTGAAGTTAAATAGCTGACAACATGGACAAAGGGAGGATGTCATGGTCAAACGGTATGACCTCAAAGGAGCTGTTGTTATTACAAGAAGGTAGAGTCTAGAAGTAAGAACTGTAAGCAGGAGAATCCTTGCCGTACCACAGGAGGCAAGGAAATAAATAGGTGATTTCCGAGAGGGTTGCAGGGGAGGGACTGGAGAGGAAAGGGAGGGAGTGCCCACGGGGAAAAGAGAGTGAGGACACAGGCGAGTTGGCCGGCCATTTGGCAGTATGGCAAGGTGCCCAGTGCCTGGGTTTAGGAGGTGATGAGGTAGAGAGTTGGAGAAAACCTGGAAGTGGAGAGCAGTATGGACTTGATGTTAGAGGCTACAAGAGCCACAGAGGAGGACAGACAGTGTTCTGACTGAGGAACACATGGAAGGACAAGGGTGGCACCTGGGACAAGTCTCACCAAGCTTGGGCAGTGGTGGGTCCACAAGCTGTCGGTGCCACACACCACAACCTAACTGGACTGGCCCTGAAACTTGAGATGCGTACTGTGTCACCTGGACCCAGAAGCTCCTCAGTCCAGCAGGAAAGAAACAGATAAAATAAGTGTGAGTCGATGGCATTGTCCCCTACGGATATTGCTGGATGCACTCTGGCCAGTGATGCAATTTTTCCTGCTTCAGGTCTAATCCTGGCCCCCACTTCTTATTACATATTATTGCAGAAACTGGTCCCCTGCTCTTCCTGTCTTCCTTTCTTCCTCTCCAGTTAGTTTTCACACCTCTGTGAGGTGCCTCTAAGAGCACAGCTATGACCAGGTAATTCTGCTAAACCTCTAACCGTGAATACAGGTCTCCGGGCATGTCAGTCCAGAACCCCCAGATGACTGCAACCTTTTCAGTCTTGTTTTCTGTTTCTTTCCCTCACCTACCAATGTGTTAACCCAGCACTTCCTTCTGAATTCCAGGAAGCTATTATGTGCTTTCTCATTTGTCTTTTTTTTAGTTTTTACTATTTCCTGCTTCAGAAATACTTCTTCTAATTTTTTTTGTTAAAATTCCACCTCCTTCATGAAGCCTTCCTTGATTCCCCTAGCCACAACTAATCTTTCTCATCTCTGTACTTCCATCATCCATGTATTTTGCCTTTTTTTAAAAGCTCTTACCACTTTTAGTTTTATGGCTCTTCCTGTACAGGTCTGCCTCTGCTATTGTGTGGTCTGTTCCCAAAAGATGAGTCTCATGTTTTGTACATTTCTCTTTTCCCTCCCTGAACCTGGACCTTGCTCTACTTATACATACACAAAACAGGGCTGTTGAATGAATTGACCTTTAAGTCAAGAT